GTCCACTCGGTGGGCGGCGGCCCGGGCGAGTCCGCCTGCCCGCAGCTCCACGGCGTCTCTGGCGGCCGCCTCGTCAGCCCTGCAAACAGCGATGGCATGCGACAGCGAGAGGTTTTGGACGGCGCAGAGACGTTTGACGGTCTCCGCTGATCTCAGACCCATTACAATCCTATCCCTGATTAGCGAATCATTACACGCGTCACAAAATTTGCAAGCACGAGACAATTCACGCAGGGAGGTTAGAAAATCATCAAAGACCTCCCCTTCAGCCTGAAACCTTTCGTTAAACCTCTTCCTTTCGATAACCTCGTTTACTTGGCCCACTGCGAAACGCTCCAGCGCGTCCAGTACAACCTCGGGATCGGCACGCTGGACCTCGGTCAGCTCCAGGTTCCTCAGGACGCGGCGACTCTCCGGGGTCATGACATTTTTCAGGGCAGCCAGCTGAATGTCAGGTTCAGCGTCTATCAAGCCGGTCAGGAGCACGTAGTCCTCCCAGCTTTCTCTCCACACCAGGAAAGACTCACCCCGGTCCGTGGAGAGGTCCAGGCTGTCCGGTGCTCGTACTCGGCCCGCCCACGGGGCCGGCGCGCTGCGGGACGCACGACCGCGGCCGGCCCGCTGCCGCGGCGCGGCAGCCCGAACCGCGACGGAAGCGGCCGGCTCCCGAGACGCATCCGCTACGCTGTCGGCGTCAGAGTCCCCCATTGCTGGGTCGAAAATGCACAGTAATTATGCACGTCGCCCTGTCACACTTGCACTGGTAATCGCACGTTCACGATCCTGTCGGCTGCGCCATGTGAAGACGCCTCTGAACCGGTGCAGGTGTATTGTTCACAGCGAGCGAGCGTGGCGCGGACCCAGTAGAGACTGACGCGGCCCCGCACGGTCCGGCCGGGAGCCGCCGCCGGACCGTGCCCCGAGGGCACACACGGTCGTAGAGATGCAAACCCCAGGTACAGACTGGGGATGCACACCACCACAATATATACTAATTGTATGCAAATTGCAGTGACACATGAAACCACACTCCAAAAGCTGATAAGTTACCCATTCCATCTAAGAAATGTGAAGTGTGAACTCAAACTATGATTATTAATTTACCTTCTTGGTCTTTACTTAATAGGGGAGAGTGGGGTAAGATGCCCAGGGTGGGAAAGACGCCCCACCCCCTCTAGCGGCGAAACAAAGGATCGAACCTGGAAATTAATGGTCTTAGCGTAAAGCGGAAGCCTGCCTTGTTAACTGCACAAAAATTTGCGAAGCTCAGTTGGGCAACGGCTGGCTGATGATTGCATGTTTTTTATTTGCTGTTTTAAAAAAAATATTTTGGTGTCAAAACATTGTAAATATCAAAGAAGGTAGATAATTTTTGCGTCCCTTGCTATAGTCGTGATACCTTAGCATGCGTGTACTGTGTCCCAAACAGTTTGTTTCAGGGTGTAGTTTTATGGCTAACAAATTGTACTGATTTAATGTTAGTTCGGTACTTTGGGGTAAGATGCCCCCTGTCCTGATGGGGAAAGACGCCCCCCTAAATCCGTAGGCTGTCCTTCAAACAGCCCGTCAAGTCATTTATTACATACTTGTGATGTAGACAAAAGCCGATCTGGGACTATTGAGAGTCCAGTACGGTCGGGTGCTCCCCATGCCGGTCTCTCGGCCCACACAGCGACTTTTTGGGCGGCATCTGACTCTGAGAGCCCTCACGACGGCCTCTGTGGGCCCCATTATTGGCTCCAGGGCCCCTCATGACATCCTTTGAGGGCTCCCACGTTGGCTCCACGGGCCGCGCTGGCATCTGAGGTCCCCACGATGGGCTCGAGGGCCCTCAAGCATCATAAAGACCTATAGGAGCCCCACAGTGGTCTCCGAACGCCACCACGGAGGCTTGTTTGGCCGCGCTGGACTATGATGGCCCTAACGATGACCTCTGAAGTCCCTTACGACTACTTTTTAGGGCCCTTATGATGACGTTTGGTGTCTACTGCAGGCTCGAAGGGACTACTGATTCGTTCAGGCGATTCACGTGCCCATTTATGTCACTTATAGTGCAGGGGGCATCTTTCCCAACGCCAGGGGGCGTCTTTCCCACCCTGTGGGGTAAGATGCCCCCTTTCACTTCTTCAGGAAAATGCTTAATAGCAAAAAAAGTTATCATATTTCAGGCACGAAAGTGTGATATTTTTGGAGAAAAATGATGTCGGCTTTCGTTGAAACTCCAAGTTTTTGCTTTCCCATCGTCATTTTCGAATAATATATGACATAGCAAAACCCTGGGCATCTTTCCCCACTCTCCCCTACTTTGATTTCTTCATACTTCATCCATAAACATTTCTTGTTATACTTTCCATGCCCAAACATTGTTCCAAGGTGACCAATTAGTTAGATGTGAACTATCACCATCATCTACTTAGTCCATTGGGGTGACATCTGTTAAGAGAGTAGGTACTGGGGTATTTGGGGCAAATGAACCCCACAGTGCCCCAAATCAACAATACCTTGTTTTTTAATAAAATGAAAACCATGTAACTTTAAGGGAAAGTTAAGTTTGTTTTAAACTGCAGAACAGTGTAAAAGCTTTCAAAATTCTACGAGTTTTTGGAGTTTGGAGAACGCTTTTGGGATCCGGGTATGCCCCCTGCAGCGCCCAAGACTGCTTTTCTGGATCAGCCAGTGTTTGAGATTGAAAAACAAGAACACAATGACTGGCAAATTAATCAACATTATGCATGGTAAAAACCAAAGGCAGTATTGCAATTCATTATTGACCAACGAATGTCTGTAACAGCACACTCCGGATGAAATCACGCTGAGCACAGATACAGTGACTATAAATAATACTGAGTAGGGTACTCACTCTCGAACAAGGTAGAACGGATCTTCCATGATTTAAAACCTTGCAGCTTTTTCAATGTGTAGCAAGCTCAGAAATCGACAGCCATCACGATTCACGAGCATACCAATACGGTCGTCAAGTTAGATGTAAGTGAATCCTAATCTATAATCTAAGATTCGGAATCAGGTGAGCCCCTACGATTTGGACCAAACTTGGTCAGTGGATAGTACGTAACGTTCTGATTACGATGCAGCCAAAATCTAAGCTCGGCCCGCCATATTTACGAAGTTACGGATGTTTGAATTTCAAGGTCATTCGGGAGGGCCCCTACGATTTCCGTCAAAATTTGTGGACGGACACTCTAGATGCTCCTCATTACGAATATCACAAAATTTAAGCTCGGCCCGCCATATTTACGAAGTTACGGAGGTTTGAATTTCAAGGTCATTTGGGTGAGCCCCTGCGATTTCCGTCAAAATTGGTATACGGACATATTACATCCTCCTCATTACAAATATCATAAAAGTTGAGCTCGGCCCGCCATATTTTTCAAGTTACGGAGTCACAAAGTTACGGAATTTCAAGGTCATTCGGAGAGCCCCTCTGATTTTCGTCAAAATTTGTATGCGGACACATTACATGCTCCTCATTACGAATATCGTAAAAGCTAAGCTCGGCCCGCACTATTTCAAAAGTTACTGACGTTTGAAACTCACTGAAATTCAAACATCTCTAACTTTTGAAATAGTGCGGGCCGAGCTTAGCTTTTACGATATTCGTAATGAGGAGCATGTAATGTGTCCGCATACAAATTTTGAAGAAAATCGGAGGGGCTCTCCGAATGACCTTGAAATTCCGTAACTTTGTGACTCCGTAACTTGAAAAATATGGCGGGCCGAGCTTAACTTTTATGATATTTGTAATGAGGAGGATGTAATATGTCCGTATACCAATTTTGACGGAAATCGCAGGGGCTCACCCAAATGACCTTGAAATTCAAACCTCCGTAACTTCGTAAATATGGCGGGCCGAGCTTAAATTTTGTGATATTCGTAATGAGGAGCATCTAGAGTGTCCGTACACAAATTTTGACGGAAATCGTAGGGGCTCTCCCGAATGACCTTGAAATTCAAACATCCGTTACTTCGTAAATATGGCGGGCCGAGCTTAGATTTTGGGTGCATGGTAATCAGGACGTTACGTACTATCCACTGACCAAGTTTGGTCCAAATCGTAGGGGCTCACCTGATTCCGAATCTTAGATTATAGATTAGGATTCACTTACATCTAACTTGACGACCGTCATACCAATACCATCCGTTCAAACTGATCTGATACTGATATCACAGTATCAGGATTACAGCCCGAAGCACGGTAAGTGAATGAATCATGAGTGTGCAGGAAGTTCTCCGTCGAGCTTTATTCAATACTTTCAGGGACGCGTTTCGCGGGGAGCATCGCCTTCGTCGTGTTTTGTTAAGTGATCTGGCTCACACTGCGCTCAATTCGACCCGTTTGCACTGCCCAGGCTCACTTGTAAGTCACATGCTCTCACTGTGTGGGATGAACTATGAAACACTATTGAGAGTTGCTGGGGGGCATGTGTCACGAGACCTGATTAGCGCTCCCAGACGAGTGGATGGTATTGCCGACTCACTGCGCTGGCTACTGGCCCAGAACAATGGCGACGCCTGGGCCATGATCCATATGCTTGTCTTACCCCAACGAGTGTCATCGTAGCACTCCTGTTAAAGTTTGCGGGATTACTGGTTTGCGCTGAACAGGCTGCATGGAACAGCTGTTTGTACGTCTTTGTGTCACATGAATATGATGTGTATTGTGTAACTGTGTGAGACACCTTGTATTGTATCATGCCAATATGCTTTGTCCCTATATGATGGGATGTTAAATAAAATTGATTGATTGATTGATTTCACCCTTGCGTATTGCTCGTTAGTTGGCTCGTTAGGGCTCACGCCTCTTCCTTGACGAGTTTTACGCTCAACTGCGCCCCGATTTCTTATCTTATCGCAACCAACTTATACGGCCTTGATCGCAACCGACATTCCGATGCCGAGCTCCGATCAATATTACGCTGCTAGCACACACGAGTGGTGGTGCTTATGCGCATTAGATGTCACAGCAGCGTCATTACTGAATCAGCATGCCATAGCTAAATTGTATTTGTCAGTACAAGTACGAAGTCTGCTCATAAAAATTACTGAATAAAATATTCGGGAATACCTATATTAACAACAGCTTTTTTATAGAGTGTCATCAATACCTATACATTATTGCATGTTAAAAAACGTAAACACTTTTGTCATTTTACATCAGAGTTCAAGCAAAAGCGGGCAGCACTGGCTCCACTTTTCCGGGTGCCAGCTCTCCAAAAACACCACCTTTACAACAACGATAACGAGAGTGACAAGTCCGGCTGAAACAAATCCAACTATCGCGAGGACCAGATACTGACCAAACGAGAGATTTTTCTCAGCCACGGCCATCCGACGCCAGCGAGCCGCCTCCGCCGACCGCTCCGGAGGAAACGGTGGATCCGGAGGGGGCACTCCGGGTGGCAAAGGAGGATCCAGGGGATCCAGTTCGGGATCATCCAGATCTTCTGCGACCGCTTCCCCTTCAGTTGGGGATGACACGTAAGAGACAGAAGTGTTCGACTCCACAGGTAACGCAAAGTTGAAAGTGTTCGTTTTGACAGCCGATGGGCTGCTCGCTGCCAGTTTAACGAGGTGGCTGGGTTTATCAGTTGGATACTTTAGATTTGACGTTCTCCCCGGCGTAAGGGCGTGACGGCGCTGTCGGCGGCGTCGACGTCCAGAGCGCATCAGCAGCATGGCCGGCAGAGCGCCCGGGCGAGCGGAGCTGAGGACGGGCCCGGTGGCCGGGGCGGGACCGGTGCCGGCGGCCGCTGTCAGCCGGGGCGATCCCGGCAGCTGCACCACGGCTCCGGCCGCTGGTGGAGCGCCACCCCCGCTAGTGTCAGCGTCCACACCAACCGCCGCCGACCCCACGGCCGGCTGAGCGGCAGGCCTCACCATCCACCGTCCTTTGCTCCTTCCTCCGGCTCCCACTTTACTCCCACTTCCTCCCCGTGCCCCAGCCGTCTGGGACGGAGCCGGGCCGACATAATACTGCACTTTGATCGGACCCTTCTGTTTCACTGAGACCAGCTGGTCGCCGGGTCCAACCACGGTCTTCTCGACTGCCGGGGATGTCTCCTCTTCACCTTCCGTCTCTTCACCATCGTCTCCGCTTTCTATCGGCTGCTCCACTGCCGACACCGTCTCCAACTCGCCGGCGGCCGTTTTTCGGTCCGAGTGGGCCACGCCGACCCGCTCGGCCACCCTGCCGTTAGGAGACACCACGTTACCGACAGTGGCGTCTGCTTCTGACTCACCCGCCGCGCTCTTCTGATCAATCTGCAGCCGCTGCAGCTGCTGTAGCTGTTGCACCTGCCCGGCCGCCAGCTGCCGACCGCCCAACACCTGCTGAAGCTGTCCGATCAGCAGCTGTAGTCGGCTAAACTCGGAGCCAGCGACCTGAGACTGACCCTGACCGCCGCCTGGTGGCAATTCGATCCCAACACCGGCCAATGCTACATTTCCTGCCGTCCCCGAAGTCCTCTCCTGAGACCCCTGCTTCTGCTGGAGTGGTCCTTGCCCCTCCTTCATCCCCTCCTGTCCTCCAATCGGTTTCGAGGCCGACAGCGGAGACGGAGACGGTGCCGGAGACGGTGAAGAAGACGGAGATGGTTTTCGTGAAGATGACGGAGATTGTGTTGAAGACGGTGGTGACGGAACTGGAGGTGGGGTTGACGGTACTGCAGGTGACGGAGACGGTGCTGCAGGCGACGGAGACGGCGATGGAGATGACTCTGACTCCGTCGGAGGCTCTTCACTCGCAGTCGAGCCGTTTCCTCGGCTCAGAACGGTCTCGGTGTCGATCTCGATGCGTATCTTCCCCGACGAGGGTACCCCGACCGAGTTGTTACAGTCGGGGTCGGCGGGGTCACAGCCGGTCCCGGCCTCGGCGGTTTCCAGCTGCTGAGTGCACGTCGGTCCGCCCCAGCCGACAGCGCAGCTGCAGTTGAACTGGCCCTCGCCCTGCAGAAAAAAACGACGGCAACCGTGAAACGAGGACTCATTACATTTACAGTAGGTAAATTAAACTGCTCATCGCTCTTACATCGTAAGAGTCCGTTCACGCTCTTTATATATTTTCACACTTACAGACTTTACAGACTTTTACAGCCCAAGCGTCATATTCCTGCTCCTTATGCCTAGCGTTTGCCATTTCGTGGAATATCCGACCGTTTGAGGCATTCCGCACGGCGAGTTTTCGCCACGAGCCATGCGGTACAGCATACCTTCAGGCGCTTGACAGTGGCGCCATCTATGGAATGGAATATAAGCTTACGCCAAGTGGCCAAATGCATATCTAAAGGCGGTCGCATTAAAAAATGGTGCAGCAGTTCTTATTTTGCGTAATATCTTCACAGATATCACACTTCTAAGCATAGAACAGTCACACCGGAGTATACATACCGCGGATAGGCAGGTGGCGCCGTTTTGACACGGCTGCAGGGCGAGGCACGCGTCCACCATGTGGCAGCGAGGGCTGGAATCTGAACGGAAAACGGACAGGATAACGTTACTCCCTATCAGACTCCTACTTTGATTGAATTTAGATGCGAAATACGATTCATCAGAATTCATATATTCATAGCATTGAGTATTGACTCATTCGTCCGTCTATATATCACTGGGAACACGACATAGCATAACATCCTTTGATCTTATGACAGGTGTTATGCGGATGCAGAACACCTACCTGACACCCGCTCGTAGCCTGGCTTGGCGTCGCAGCCGCAGCTGTATCCCAGCTCCGAGTCCGGGTCACGAGCGCACGTGAACTCCTCACCACACTGAAACAGACGTCGCGATGTCTCGTAACCATACGGCTGGAGGATGGTTGGTGACCGATTGAGTCGCTGCCCGTAGCTCGTTCATAGCACTCGGCAGACGGAATGCATGATAAAAATATGCTTCGGGGAGCATTCGCATTGAGGATCTCCGTAGTTAAGAACGTTTAATTTAGTCCTTTGTCATGGCAATACCCGAAGATTTGCATGCACTCCGTTGAAAACAATCACAGGAATAGCATACAAATACCAATGAATACAAAACATTGAATATCATCTTTTCGCGTTCGTCCGAGTCATCGAAAAAAATCCGTTCATAAATAATGCAATACCAGATCATTGCTGTCGGAGCAGGGACTGGAGGGCTCCTCGCACGTCGTGCCCGTCCACGCCGGAGGGCACGTGCACGTATATCCGGCACGTTCCTGGGAGACACACGTGGCGCCGTTCTTACACGGCCGTTTGGCCAGGCACTGGTCCGTAACGATGCAGTGCGGGTCGGTGTCTGAAAAGAGGGGAGTGACGTTAGCTGTTAAAGTATCCGTCAGGTTAGCCGTCAAACCTGGGGCAGCTGGTCGTCAGAGGCAGACTTGAGGGAAGACTGTTCGCCAGACTAGCTGCCAGACTGGTCGGCAGACTAACCGTGAGACGTTTCGCTTCCGGTCAACGTGTGAACACTGGAGCCTGCGCAGAGCGGCAAGATAGCCGGGATTGAACAAAACGCATTACTATATAAAGGGCCAGCAGAGTAGTTGCTTTTCAACAAGCCTTTAGCGCGACAACTAATTACTGAGGTCAGCTATGCGATATTCGACTAAAAGGGCAGTCGGAGTCATTCGGACCTGACTTGGCCTCCCATCCGGGTGTCTTTGAGCAGCCGCACGAGAAGCCCAGCGCGCTGTTGGGGTTCCGCTGGCAGCTGCCGACCGTTTTCGGGCCGCCGCAGAGGTCCTCCGTGGTCCCCTCGCACGGGTTCGCCGGCATATTACACTCCTTGCCCTGGTGGCACCAGAAAACGAGAACGTGTCATGGCGTCTTACCAGCAAACACTGCATTGAAGTCTTGTCAGCATTTCAGCGGCCGGAATGTCATACAAGCTCTGAAGATTTAGTATGCGAAGTGACTGACCGTCCAGGCGGGAGTGCAGGAGCAGCTGTAGCCCAGGTGCGGCAGGCTCGTACAGGAGCCGCCGTTCTGACAGGGCGACCGCTGCAGACACACGTCGGTCACCACGCACTGCGGGTCCGACTCTGCCGAGGGCATAGACACCGTTCACACACCCTGACTTAGCCCTGACTTGACCCTCAACTGACTGAACTGACCTAACCTGACCCTATCGGAGAACTGACCATGTCCTGACCCTGACCCTGACCAGACCCTGACCTGACCCTGACCTGACCTGACCTGAATTGACCGTGATCTGACCCTGACCTGACCGTGACCTGACCCTGTCCTGAACTGACCGTGACCTGACCCTGACCTGATCCTTACCTGACCCTGACCTGACCCTGACCTGACCCTGACCTGACCCTGACCTGACCCTGACCTGACCCTGACCTGACCCTGACCTGACCCTGACCTGACCCTGACCTGACCCTGACCTGACCCTGACCCTGACATCACCCTGACCTGACCCCGACCTGACCCGACCTGAAGCTGATCTGACCCTGATCTGATCTGACCCATGGCCTAACCCTGACCTGACCCTGACCTGACCCTGACCTGACCCTGACCTGACCCTGACCTGACCCTGATCTGACCCTGACCTGACCCTGACCTGACCCTGACCTGACCCTGACCTGACCCTGACCTGACCCTGACCTGACCCTGACCTGACCCCGACCTGACCCTGACCTGACCCTGACCTGACCCTGACCTGACCCTGACCTGACCCTGACCTGACCCTGACCTGACCCTGACCTGACCCTGACCCGTCGTTAAGTAGCATTCTGTCCCCACTCACCGGACTTTGGCCCGTATCCGGGCACGGCATCGCAGTTGCACGTGTAGCCGGCCAGGGAGTGCGGTGCCAGCTGACAGGCGAACCGTTTTCCGCAGAGCGCCTTCTCGCGGCAGGGATGTCGGGGCTCGGAGCATGTGGCCCCGCGCCACAGACCGCGGCACGAGCACTTGAACTGACCTCCCTCCAGGCTGGTGCACACGCCGTCATTGAGGCACGGCGAGCGAGCCAGACATACGTCGTCCACCACACAAGTGGGATCCTCGTCTGTAGAGGAAGATAGGAGGGGAAACTCATGAATTATAAATTTCAGCAGGTATCTAACGCAGCCGAACGCAGCTTAATTATTTCTACTCTGGCTGAATCCCACCAAGGATAACTCATCGCCTACCAAATGACTTCGATGAGTTCCTTTGACCACACCAAGCAGACCTGACATGCCACACTGATCCGAGCTGGCCCTCCACTCTGATTTGTCCCCTCTGACCGACCTAGGTTGGCCTTACTCTGACCCGTCTCACCAACTGACCTGAATTGGCCTTCCATCCGGGCGTGGTGTGACAGTTGCAGCTGTACCCTGCGACTGATGCCGGGTCGCGGGAGCACGTCCGCCCGGCCCCGCACACGATCCGCTGAGTCTCACACGGGTCCCGCGGCAGCTCGCAGCTCGTACCGCCCCACGCGTGAGGACACTCGCACTGGTAGTGGTGGGCCGAGCCCTGCACACACGTGCCGCCGTTCTGGCACGGACTGTTGGCCAGACACTGATCCTGCACGGCGCAGTGGGGGTCCTCATCTGAAAACGAGAGGAGGGACGTGCTTTGACTACCCTACCGCAGTGATCAGCACTTCTAGTTTAATTCATGTGACTCTCCACAAATCAAATAAAGTCGCTTTCACTATCGTCTCAACGTATCGATTCAGATAAAGATTAGCCTTGACTAATAACCTGTCATCGCATCGCTACATCTAATCTTTCTATTCTCATCACAAGGACATATACATTTAACAAAAACAAAAACATTTGGTTGACGCTAGCACGTCCATTTCATGTGCATTCTCACACTCTCTTACCTGAGGTGACTCCCCAGCCGGGCCGGGCGTCGCACCCGCACGTGTAGCCAGCCGGAGAGGTCGGGTCGCGACTGCACTGGAACCCGGCACCGCACGGAGCCGCCGGCGTGCACGGGTCCAGCGGCTGGTCGCACGTGGCGCCCGTCCACGCAGGGTGGCATGTGCACCGGTACGTGTCGCTGGCCGTGGCCAGACACGTGGCGCCGTTTCGGCACGGCTGGAGAGCTATGCACGGATCGGCCACCTGGCACTGGGGCTCGCTGGCTGTGGCAACAAACGTCGAAAAGGGAACAGAACAGGTCAGCAGGATGGAGCGATACCAGGCGCCCCAAAACTAGCTCTCTGCCAGATGAAGAATGTTCGATATTACCGACGTCGCAAAACGAGGCTTTTCTGACAAATTAAATAAAGTCTAAAAAGCGCATACTAATTCCAGTATGTTAAAAGGAGAAATGTTTCCTAACAGGAGAAAGTTCTACGATATTTATGCACAGAGGATCGCATACCAGAGATGCTTTTCCAGCCGGGCTTTTTGTCGCAGCCACAGTTGTAGCCGGACGGCCGACTGGTGTCCCGCTCACACGTCCACTCGGCGCCGCACCGTGAGGCCTGTCCACGGCGAGACAGACAGGTCACCATCACACCGGCGTCATCAGGACGGTACAACGCGATGTGGTACATAGGTACGACACGACATAGCACGGCACGTTACGATACGACGCAGCACGGGAGTGGTCTATAGTCTCGTTTCGGGTCCGGGCCTTCTGACGTCTATTTTATACTAGAGGTACAGGTTTGCGCGATAACTGTATGTTTTGATTAATTATATGTGACGGATGCATTAGTTTGGGTGAGTAGCTTGTATTTTAGCTGTATTATTTGGGTAGATTTGGGTAGCTGTTTTTAATATAATAGCGATAGTTGCGGAGTGTCCAAGTCTTTTGTATGTTAGGCCCTTTTTTAACTCAACCCTACCCCTACCCTACCCCTACCCTACCCCTACCCCTACCCTACTCCTACACTACACTACACTACACTACACTACCCTACCCTACCCTACCCTACCCTACCCTACCCTACCCTACCCCACCCTAGGCCCTATTTTAACTCAACCCTACCCCTACCCTACCCTACTCTACCCTACCCCTACCCCTACCCTACTCCTACACTACACTACACTACACTACACTACACTACACTACACTACACTACACTACACTACACTACACTACACTACACTACACTACACTACACTACACTACACTACACTACCCTACCCTACCCTACCCTACCCTACCCTACCCTACCCTACCCTACCCTACCCTACCCTACACTACCAGCGACAGTCCAAGTTTCAGCTAAATCGGCCCAGAAACGGCTGAGATATTGCAAAAACAAATTAATTGTATTTACTGGCGAATCCTCTTGGCGAGCGGTGCCTTGTTGTCGGCCTTCGTTGTCAAAGGTCAATGACCTGCCGGCCCACTCAGTTTTTTAAGCGAACAACTGAGCCTAAAGCACGTGCCCTCTGCTCGGCGCCGGTCGCGGCCCCACCACGTGCACACCGCTGAACCCACCCCCTCGAAAATTTAATACGACAAATGAGTGCACGCGTCCGACTTGCAGTGAAAATTTCACCCCCGTAGCCCTTACCGTTCCCGAGCAATAGCGTGTTTTTGCCGATTCTAATGTTAACCCTATGGGCACGCGAGCACGCGCCGCGGGCGCACCCCCGGCCGCATCATGTCCAAAAGTTAATACGACCTACGTGTAAAGGTGGCCCACATCGCTGTAAAATTTCACGGCCGTAGGTCAACAGACGCCGCCGCAATAAGCGCTACAAAGTGACTACGTCGCACACGGCGTGGGCGGCGGGGTACTTTTTAGGATTTATAATATAGACTAGAGGTACAGGTTTGCGCGATAACTGTATGTTTTGATTAATTATATGTGACGGATGCATTAGTTTGGGTGAGTAGCTTGTATTTTAGCTGTATTATTTGGGTAGATTTGGGTAGCTGTTTTTAATATAATAGCGATAGTTGCGGAGTGTCCAAGTCTTTTGTATGTTAGGCCTTTTTTTAACTCAACCCTACCCCTACCCTACCCCTACCCTACCCTACCCTACCCCTACCCTACTCCTACACTACACTACACTACACTACACTACACTATACTACACTACACTACACTACACTACACTACACTACACTACACTACACTACACTACACTACACTACACTACACTACACTACCCTACCCTACCCTACCCTACCCTACCCTACCCTACCCTACCCTACCCTACCCTACCCTACACTACCAGCGACAGTCCAAGTTTCAGCTAAATCGGCCCAGAAACGGCTGAGATGTTGCAAAAATAAATTAATTGTATTTTCTGGTGAATCCCCGTGGCCAGCGGTGCCTTGTGTCGGCCTTCGTTGTCAAAGGTCAATGACCTGCCGGCCCACTCAGTTTTTTAAGCGAACAACTGAGCCTAATGCACGTGCCCTCTGCTCGGCGCCGGTCGCGGCCCCACCACGTGCACACCGCTGAACCCGCACCCTCGAAAAGTTGATACGACAAATGGGTGCACGCATCCGACTTTCCGTGAAAATTTCCCCCCCGTAGCCCTTACCGTTCCCGAGCAATAGCGTGTTTTTGCCAATTCTAATGTTAACCCTATGGGCGCGCGAGCACGCGCCGCGGGCGCACCCCCGGCCGCATCATGCCCAAAATTTAATACGACCTACGTGTAAAGGTGGCCCACATCTCTGTAAAATTTCACGGCCGTAGGTCAACAGACGCCGCCGCAATAAGCGCTACAAAGTGACTACGTCGCACACGGCGGCGGCGGATTATTTAGGATTTATAATATAGATAGATCAGCATCACCTGGCCTGCTTTATCGGTCCTGCTGATGAAATCACTGACCCCTGTGGCGCAGATGTCGTTGGGCTGGCTGCAGTTGGTGCCCGTCCAGGCGGCCGTACATTTACAGGTGTAGGCTCCGGCCGGCGCGGGGGTGCAGGTGCCGCCGTTCTCACATGGCTGGCCGGCCAGACAGGCATCGAACAGCACACAGCGCGGCGAGTGTGCTGCAGGAACGACGGCGAGGAACGGGTCGGGTGAACGGTTTCATAGGTGGTATCCTTGACTACCGGACTAAGCTCTTAGTAAGCCCAGGATGTTTACTATCCACTCGATTTATGATTCTGTTTCTATTATTCGTACCTGAATGTTGTTTCCAGCCGGGTTTGTCGGCACAGTTGCAGCTGTAGCCGACCGGTGAGGAGACATTTCTCGAACACTGGAACCCGTCTCCGCAGTCCACCTCGCCATCCTCGCAGGGCTGCGCCGGGCCGGTGCAGTTGCGTCCCCGCCACGCAGGAGGACATTTGCAGCTGTACCCCTGGTCGGCCCGGCTGGTGCACACGCCGCCGTTCTGGCACGGCCTCTCGGCCAGACACGCGTCGCTGACCTCACACCGTGGGTCGCTGTCTGATTGGGAGCACGGGAGGGCAGTGTGAGAAATAGTGGAGCCCGAATAATCACATTTAGATTGAAGCAGCCAAGGCTGGTGGATTAAATGCATACATTTAAAAGTTACAATCATTGGTTTCGCCGATTGATTGATGCGGTTATTTAACGAAGCCATCTTACATTTAGTATCATTGAGGTTCGATCCAGCTTTCGGTCAATTTCTAAGTAAAGCGTTTAAAGTCGTTATCCATTCTGTCATCACAGTCCGTCCTTCTCGCAAAAACGTCACCCACCTGAGACGGCCCTCCAGCCGGGCCGCGAGTTGCAGCCGCACGTGTACCCCACCGGCTTGTTGGGGTTCCTGCCGCACTGCCAGCCGGGCCCGCAGAGGTGCGTGTCCCGGTCACACGGGTTCTCCTCGCGCTCGCAGTCCTCTCCCGTCCAGGCAGGCAGGCACTGACATCCGTACTCTGTACCGTTCCCCTTCAGCTGACATGTGCCGCCGTTCTTACAAGGAGACAGGGCTTGGCAGACGTCACTGATGATGCACTGTGGCTCTTTGTCTGTGATGCGAGACAGCAGAGAGGGCAGGGGAGGTCGGGAGTGGTTAGAATGCTGGATTTCCGTTTCGAAGAAGGAGCTAATTCAGGATAGTTTTTAAACAGTCTGGCTTGGCATGAAGAGAAGGAAATAAGTACTACACGGGAGTCGCCAAGAGATCATGAATTGCATAGATCTTTTGTAGTGACCTGATTTGGCGACGTATCCCGGCTTGGTGTGACAGTTGCAGCTGAGGCCGGCCTCTGACTCCGGTTCCCGCTGACAGGGCCAGTCTCCCCCGCAGGGATTGGGCTGTTCAGCACAGGGGAACTGGGGCTCCGTGCAGTCCTTCCCTACCCACGCTGGCGAGCAGCTGAAACCCATCGACAGTTTCAGCACACGTCTTCGTGCGATACATGGCTAACTTGCGACATAATATAGCTTCAAGTTAATCTGCTCATCGCAAGTGGTAATAGAGTATCATTCGGCGCCGATACCGCCAAAATATTATCAACAGCCGTGTTCGTGGTAAATGAATAAATGTGTTCAGAGTAAGTGAGTAAGTAGCGCACCTGCATGTGTAATTTCCTTCTCCGTGGGTTTGACATGTGCCACCGTTCTGACAGGGAGACTTGGCCAGACAAATGTCCGACACGGTGCAGCGAGGGTCGCTGCCTTGAAATGTACAACACAAACAGCGGTCAGCTTGAACCAAAATGGGTCGTAAAGTGTCCACATTACGAATTCGAACAGTAAAGGCATCAACTTTCCATCGATTATACTCGAGAACCGCATTCTATTGAATGCGTAAGTTTTATATTTTTGGTGGCATTCGCTCCTCAAAGGCTTGAAAATCGTTTACAGTTTACATCGCCCTCTAGACATCTCGCACCACACACCACATTCGTAATTCGCCGGCGCACCGCCTCCACCCCTCACTCACCGCCGGCCGGCCTCCAGCCGGGCTTGCTGCCGCAGCCGCAGCTGAAGCCCAGCGTCACGTTGGGATCCCTCTCGCAGCGCCACTCCTTGCCACACATCTGTTCCTCGGCGTCGCACGGGTCGCGGGGCTCGGCGCAGCGCACACCCGACCAGGCGGGCCGGCATGCGCACACAAACCCGCCGCCGGGACGTGGTGAGCACGAGCCGCCGTTCAGACACGGCTTCTCGGCCAGACAGCGGTCGTAGATGACGCAGCGCGGGTCGGACTCTGAGAGAAGATGGAAAAATGGAATGGCATGTGCTGGAAATCACGAAAGCACGCAATTGTTACTAAAAGAATACGGTAAGTATAGCCTATTAAAACGACGGTCGAAATTAGTGTTTTTATCTAAAAAAAAAGGAACATTAAAAATTAACGGGCGTTGTTTTTGCTGTAAATAGTGCGGCTGTCTCTATTATGTATTGAATAGCAGGATCGGATCGTTTATGGGAGCTGGATCACACTCGGTACCCATGGACGGCCTACTCACTGGACGTGGCTCTCCATCCCGGCTTGCTGGTACAGCTGCAGTTATATCCCAGCTGTTTTGATGGATCTCTGCTGCACTTCCATTTGGCTCCACACGGCTTATCCAGCGAATCGGAGGCGCACGGGTCGCTGGGGAACGAGCACCGTTTGCCCCTCCAGGCCGGGTGACAGTCGCAGCGGTACTGGCGGCCACCGAGTGAAGTACACGTGCCGCCGTGGTGGCATACGTCCCGGGCCGCCAGACACATGTCCGAGACGGCGCACTTAGGGTCCGAGGCTGCCGGCACAGAGCGGCAATGCAGGTGCTGGTGACATTTCTCGTATGCCGGCGGAGCGATTTAGTAAAATGACAAAATATATGCACTAAGCAGCCGCTAAAGCTTCCCAAGACAGGTATCCATTTATTTGAATTGGTTAAATGTATTCGCCAAGCATATCATAACTAGTACATAAACATATCGACGGAGTTCAACTACGCTAAAAGCTCAGAACAAAGTAAATCCATAGGTTTAGTATCGAGAGCCGCCAAACTTACCTGAGGTGGCGTTCCAGCCGGCGTGGGCGTCACAGCCGCAGTTGTATCCGACCACACTGTCCGTATCCCGGGAGCAGCGCCAGCCTCGAGCGCACACCACCGCGCTGGCATTACGGCACGGGTCGGCCGGATCCGCGCACGTAGCGCCGCGCCACGCCGGAGGGCACGCGCAGCTGAACCCCTCCTTGCTGTCATCCGTGCGACATGTGCCTCCGTTCGTACACGGTTGGCGAGCCAGGCACGCGTCCGACTCCACACAGCCCGGCTTGGAGGCCGACTGGGCCTTGTATCCGGCCTGGCGCTCACAGTGGCACGTGTAGCCCACCTTGGCGCCGGGGTCCCTCTCGCAGGTGAAGGAGCCGCACACCTGGGCGCCGCCGGTCAGACACGGGTCGGCCGGCTGCCGGCAGCGGGGGCCGCGCCAGGCCGGCGGACACCGGCAGCGGAACCGGCGCCGGGAGGCCGGCGAGCACACGCCGCCGTTGCTGCAGTGGTTGCGGATGGCACACACGTTCCACAGCTCACAGGTGCGGTTGGTAGCTGTGGAACGGACACAGGGAGTCAGTATCGGAATGGCGGGGGGGGGAGGGCTGCTAACAGTGGTCTGGACCGCTGAGACAGTGCCGTGGTCGCGTATTAGGCGGTACAGCCTACCTTCAAGGTGTTCGAACGGCAGACAGTAGCTTTAACTACAGTTACAGAGAAGATTACCTTAAAAACGCATGTAAGAGCCGCAAGAAGAAAGCCCAGAAATATCCACAAATCGTTCACACACGGCTGACCTGAGATGGGTCGGTAGCCGGGCCGCTCGGAACACTTGCACCGGTATCCCGGCTGGGTGGTGTTGGCGTCTCGCTCGCAGCCAAACCGGCCGCACGGACTCTCCTCCTGACACGGGTCGCGCTCGTCCGAGCACGTGGCGCCGCCCCAGGCCGGCGGGCACGTGCAGCGGAACTCTGTGCCACCGCCCCCCGTGGTGTGGCACTTGCCGCCGTTCTTACACACGGTCCGCGCCAGACAGATGTCCGAAATGACGCACACCGGGTTCTTGGCTGAGAATATCGACAGAGGAAGAGAATCACCACGAACAATTAGCAGCTGTAACATCTATCAGACGGGACAGACATTTACCTACCAGCGTCGTTTGTTGTGACGTCAGAAATAAGACGTAAACTATGTGACCCTACCCAGAAAACTCGATTAAAGCTAGAAAAATAAACATTATCACACTATCAAAGCCGTCAAGAAAACAGCTGGTATCCCCGTACACCCACCTGACTTTGGCTTCCAGCCGGGCTTCCCGTCACATCCGCAGGTGTAGCCCGCAACAGCTGCCGAGTCGCGGGAGCAGTTCCAGCCTTCGCCGCACGTGTCGCCGCCGTCGCTGCACGGGTCGTGTACCTCGGTACATAGGGTGCCGGTCCAGGCCGGTCGGCACAGACACTTGAACTGGTCCCCTTCCATCGGCTGACAGGTGGCGCCGTTCTGACACGGCTCACGGGCCAGACACACGTCCGCCACACGGCACACGGGATCGTTGGCTGAAAACGAAACCATTTGAATTTAAATTTGCTCATCAAATTATCTGAATTCGGTCTAGACTGATTAAAAATGAGACATCTCATCGACTTTTGTCTTACTGAGGCGTTCTGACATAGCGTAAGTCGCTTGACGGACCGCAATGCACATCAGTTGGGATGGATGCCGCTAGATGACACTAGTGGTAGGCGCCTGGTAGTTATATTGTACCGCAATGCTTACTGTCCCGCAACTTGCGACAGTCGTTCCAAAGACGCGGGAGAGTGAGAGAAATTGAGCGAATATGTAAAACGGGAGTGATACTGCACGGTTCACACTTTAGGTAAGCGCTACAAATTTATGATTTTAAACTTATCAGCTTATAACAGCCATTTAGTTTTAGCACGCCTTCACGGTTTGGGTTGTCCTTTAGCATTCCATCGTCGCGCCATCGCCTTACGGACCTGACTTCGCCATATATCCCGGCTTCTTGTCGCAGCCGCAGTTGAAGCCTGCCTTGGAGGATGTGTCGCGGGCGCAGGTCCACCCGGCGCCACACGGCTGACCCTTGGAGCACGGATCGGCCGGATTCTGACAGCGCGAGCCCGACCAGGCACCCGGGCAGCGACAGGAGAACGACTTGCCGCCACCGGCCGTGCACGTGCCGCCGTGGTGGCACGGACGGTGGGCCAGACACATGTCAGAAACGATACAGTGCGGATCCGACTCTGGGGAGAGGGATGGCACGGGAACGGATGGTTAGACGGGCTGCGGCATGGACGGTTAGATGGGCTTCGAATTAAGACTCTCGGTTAGGGTATAGAAGCCAAATAATGGTTCACTAGTAGGAAGACTCGCTATTCGGCATCTTCACGAGGGAATAATTGTCGAGACTTATGTGATCAGTTAAAAAATATCAGAAATGAAAACCCACTAAATATAACTTATTGAGGTTTCAAGCCATTCCCAGCTGAGCCCCCCGATCCCTTCTAAACTGACCTGAGGCGGGTTTGTATCCCGGCCGGGCGTCGCAGCCGCAGCTGTAGCCGGCCGGGGAAAGCGGGTCGCGCGTGCACTGCCACGCCTTCCCACACGGTTTCTGGCCGGCGCACGGGTCGTTCGGGCGGGTGCACCTTTTGCCGGTCCAGGCGGGGCTGCATTGGCACTGCGTGGGCAGGCCGCCCGTTCCACCGGAGCAGGTACCACCGTTGTGACACGGGTTCTCGGCCAGACACGCGTCGACCACGACACACTGAGGACGGCTGGCTGTGGAAGAGACCGACAATACTAGATTCGGGAGCTGCGTTTTAAATAGATACCTCATAGAAAGACGTTCGAAATAACAGTGTCAAGTTATATGAAAAATCTACGCTCTTTCTCCATTTACCCATGAAATCAAAAGCGAATAGTAAACGTTAAAACTCAAAACAAAGTAATCGTCATCAAATGGTTTGATGAGAGCAAATCTCAAGCTCCAAGAGCATTCTAGTGAGCTGAGCTTATATGTTTTAGCACGGTACTTACCACTCTTGGGCCCCCATCCCTTGGCGTTGCAGTCGCAGACGAATCCGGCCGGTTTGTCGGGCGCCCGCCGGCAGCCCCAGCGCTTGTCCCCACACACGGGAGGCTTCTGGAGGCAGGGGTCGCGCGGCTGACGGCACCGCTCGCCCTGCCAGGCGGGAGGACAGGAGCAGCTCCAGCCGGTGGCCGTCACCTGACACGTACCGCCGTTCTTACACGGGCGCAGGGCGAGGCACGGCTCTTGAACCACGCAGCGTGGGTCCTTCTCTGCGGCGGAGAGGAGGACGTGATGCGTTCAGAAAAAAAAAAACGGAGAAGGTGAGCTTTTACACGGTAGCATACAGAAGCTAATGTAAACGGTAGTCACTAGCCGGTCTGTTGGGTGGATTCGCTGTCGGTCGGTCGTCACTCGTCGGTCAATATAACACCAGACAACTAATGCACCATTCATCTCGACTCGACACACCACACCCACACATCACACAGCGTGATGTCGCAGCACCACCACGACATGGCTCAGATTGCACCAATTCACACGCTCCACCAACCTACCGGCCGACACAGAGATCTGCAGAGCCGGCCACCTTACCGGATTTGGCCGTCCAGCCCGGTTTGCGGTGACAGTTACAGCTGAACCCGGCCAGGGCTTCCGACTCGCGGCTGCAGCGGAAGTCCTCCCCACAGGGGTCCGCCTGGCCGCCGCACGGCTGGGCCGGCAGCTGGCAGAAGTCGCCCCGCCAGGCCGCCGTACACGAGCACACAGCTCGGTTCTGCACCACAGTGCACGTGCCGCGGTTCTTGCACGGCTGTTTGGCAAGACAGACGTCCGAGACGACACAGGCCGGCTTCGAGTCTGCGGTCCGAAGGAACGAGCGTGATTCAAAATGCATACAAGTAAAGCTGAAATGCATGTTTTTTTCAGATTATTGCGTCAAATACATGAGATAGGCTAAGCTACTTGCTAAATGCATCGTGCATTACATTCATCAACAATATTTTTTTCTTCAAAACTGTCGATTTTTTACGTCTTACGAAATTTGAATGCGACGACACTTCGAATCGATCCTCACCTGACCCTTCTTTATAGCCGAGTTTGTTACAAAGACACCTGAATCCCCTCTTTCTTTTCTCGTCCCTGCGGCAGGGGAAGGGGGCGCACTCCTGTCCTCCTCCCTTCCTGCAGGGGTCTCGGGGCAGTTGGCAGCGCACGCCCTGCCACGGCGGAGTGCAGCGACAGACGAACTCCATGCCCGAGTCACCGGCCAGCCTACACGAGCCCCCGTGCAGACAGGGCGACCGTGCCTGGCAGATGTCACTGATCCGACAGCGTGGGTCGCGCCGGGAGATGGGGCTGTAGCCGACGGTGACGTTACAGCCGCAGCTGAACCCCACTGGCGAGGAGGCGTCCCGAGAACAGTTGCCGCGCTTACCGCACCTGAGCGGGGGAACGATGGCCTCAGGTAAGTAAAGTCTACGGAAGGACGACGGTGTACAAATGAAAACCTTGTCAAACTCGGTCAAAATTCGTTAAAAGGAATTCGTTAAAAAACTTAAATTTGGATCGCATTTTTTCCATGTAATAATATCAATCACCCGATACGGATTAAATTAGACTAGGAAGTTTTGATATTCATCTCTTTCTCTCTTGCCTCTGACCGTACTCACAGAGCGGGCTCGACCTTGCACGGGTCGGCCTCCTGGTCACAGGCGGCGCCCTGCCAGGCCGGAGGACACTGGCACACGGTGCCCGTGGCGCGGCTCCAGCTGCATGTACCGCCATTTTGACACGGCTGGCGGGCCAGACACGGGTCCACCACGCGACAGCGAGGCTCCGATTCTAGTGACGGAAAATCATATTAAAAATTAAAATCAGTTATTACAGAAGAAAAATTTTCGCTAAAGAACATTGAACTTTTGCCAAAAGCCGTCATCGTAGTAAAAAATAGTTTCATTTTTGTCCATTTGACAGAGCTGAGCCAATCGCAATGCTCAAAGTCAGAAATCAAAGTAGATTATAAATCCTTTCGGCCTATCACAGACTGGGACTGACCGGAGATGGCCGCCCAGCCGGGTCGCTCCTCGCACGAGCAGTTGTAGCCGACCGAGCTGTTGGCGTCTCGGACACAGTTCCAGTGTGATGCTCCACACAGTGCGGTGGTGCTGTCTGTGGTGCACGGGTCGGCCGGATGGGCGCACTGCGGGCCCGACCAGGCGCCGGGGCAGCTGCAGTTGTAGCCGCCGGGGTGCGGGCTGCACGTACCACCGTTTTCACACGGAGAGCTGGCCACGCAGTGGTCCACCACCACACAGCCGGGCTCAGAGTCTGCCGGGGGCGGACAAACGAGATAGGATAAACGGTGTGTTATTTCATGCGTATTTTAAAGGTTGATGTGTCAAATCGAGCAGTGAATCAATCGAATAGGGTTCGATTCATAAGCAGACTTAAGATTCCTCAAGGTCGCACCAAATAATTTCCGACGTCATTATCACATTGTTACAATGCAAACATTATTTACACCGGATAATCTCAGGTAGCTTTCGCCAAATTGTCAGGGAACTCAGATTTGTTTTTCAATAAAAAAACACAATTCTAAAGAATAGTGTTTTAACTTTTGACAACAAACCTTCGGTTATATAAGATATGTAAAAATCATCTCACCGGATTTGGCACCCCAGCCGGGTCTGTGCCGACAGTTGCAGGCGTACCCAGCCGGCGAGGCTGCGTCACGGCTGCAGAGAAAGCCCACACCGCACAGCTGCCCCTCGGTGCACGGGTTCCGTGGCAGCTGACACGTGTCGCCGCTCCAGGCCGGCCCGCAGCGGCACGTGTACTGACCCAGGTCACGTGGCGAGCACGTGCCGCCGTTAAGGCACGGTCGGCGAGCCAGACAGACGTCTGCCACGACACAGCGTGGGTTGCTGGCTGCGGGAGCAGGAGGGACCGAGGGAGCGGCGCTGTAAACTGACAGTGGACAGGGATACTGCGCCGCAGTGACACCGTGTAATGCGGTACAGTCTACCATCCCGCCGCTCGACTCTACACAGTGGAAGATCTGTGACAGAAGGGACAGCAAAAAGTGCTTTGTCTGTAAGCATTCGTTATTGCTAGCTTGCGAGCACCTTATTCATAGTTCATTCAGTACCTGTCTTAAGTTTTCCCATTTTATTTTGCGTTTGCCCATCAAGCGAATACTGACCTGAGAGCGGTCGCCAGCCGGGTTTGCTGCAGTCGCACACGTAGCCCAGAGTAGCGTTGGCGTCTCGGGAGCATGCGAAGCTCGGCTGACAGAGGGTGGCGCCGGCCGAGCACGGGTTCCTCTCCTCAGTGCACCGCTCGCCCTGCCAGGCTGGTGGACAGGCGCACTCGAACGCCGTGCCGCCGCGGGAGGTGCACGTGCCGCCGTTGGCGCACGGGTTGTCCGCCTGACAAATGTCCTGGATGTGACACTGCGGATTACTCGCTGAAAGAGACAGCGGAAAGGAACTGCTCAGAACGTGTGCCATGCGTTTCGATTAGGTTTGAAATAAGACGTTGCTCATTCTATGGTAAGGCAATCGCATCGTCTTTTACTCTTCACATTTCACAAGGTTAACAGTTAAAAGTGGAACTAAAAAAAAAGAAAGAAATAGTTTGGTACCTATTATTTGTTATTTCATGCGAATAAACTTAAAGCATATTGCCGAGAAGCCAATTTATTAAAGGGTAAATCCACTAAGAAGGAAGTGGTTTGCTACCTGAAATTCGGGCCCAGCCGGGCCGGCGGCGGCACTGGCAGGTGAATCCCGCCGGACTGGCCTCGCTGCGCGTGCAGTTGAACCCTGCGCCGCACACATCCCTCTGGCTGGGGCACGGGTCGCGCGCCAGCTGACACAGTCGACCGCTCCACGCCGGAGGGCACAGACAGCTGAACGAGGTGCCGGGTCGCCGGCGGCAGGTGGCGCCGTTCTGACAGGGCCGCCGGGCGGCACACGCGTCGGCCACCACACAGGAGGGGTCGGTGTCTGACGGCACACGGGCACACGGCACAGTCGGCCGCAGCGCTGCAGCTCCGCGCCGCACGTCAGCGGGGCACGAGTGGTCCTTACGTGACGTCACTTGGGAAAAACTGCTCTAAATACTTCCTTTGGGCATTCCCTTATTCCATAGAGCACAGCACAGTAAACTTACAGTTAGGCACTTACGCTTTCAATCGAATAAAAGTAAAACAATTATCATCACTGCTAATGGAATATGGCGGCGCTATTAACCCGCGCGGGGCTGGGGGGGGGGTAAATTTTACCCCCCCTCGCGAATTTTTGCGATATCTAAAAAACGGCGGCGCGCAGCGCCGCCAAACTTTCAGTACCTTTTCTTACATCAATTTGACACGTTCCCTGAAAATTTGAGCGAAATCCGTCGGAAAATTTTTGAGAAATTGACGTTTTAGTGACGTCATGTTCGCCATTTTCGCCTCAAAAACAGCAAAAGTTCAAACGCCGCTAACATCTTCATTTTTAAAGGAATCAAGACGTAACAAAAAAGGTTATACGTAATTTTACTTTGTCTATCAAATGGCTATCTCGGTTTTTTGAAAATTTTTGATTTTGGCCTAAATTTTTTCAAAAAACTGACTTTTTTGGGAAAATCATTATAAAATCCAAAATTTTGAGTCTATCAAAAAAACCGGAATATATGTCAGAGAAGTGGTCTATGTGCACCTACATACCAAATTTGAGAAGAATCGGTTCAAAAATGTGGGAGTTATTCAAAATTTTATGACGTCACGACACACAATTTTTTTGAAAAATGACTTTTTTGGAAGTTCTAGACCTCGTACGGAAACAAAAATAGCACCATTCGATTCGCCGTGAAAAACTGCATCAGATAGACACCTTTTTAGGCCTTAATAACCAACTTCAAAATTTGACCTCACTTGACCTGACCTTGACCTGACCTTGACCTGAAATTCATCCAGAGGTGGTCCATATCACTTATTGAGTGTGCCTATTGAATTCTATGAGTAAAATGACCCATAAAACATGTGTCGCACATGCCCTTTTCTATATTTTGTTTTTTGGTGACCTGACCTGACCTGACCTGACCTTGACCTTGACCTCTGAATGATATTGTATGCAACGAATATTGTCTTGGTAGCCTAAGAACACGTTTTGGGCGATCAGTCTCAGTCCATGACTCCATTCTTCGGCAACTACGGTGCAAGGCCGATACTGTAGAAACTTGCAATTTGTACCCTTGATCTGACCTTGACCTTGACCTCAAACTTTAAATTAAGTACATGTTTTTAGTAGTTCGTGATAAGAGCTTTCGATTGGCGTTTGAATTTTCCAAATCGGACCATAAGTTCGGGAGATAACAGGGGGGTAAAATTTACCCCCCCCCCCCAGCCCCGCGCGTTCGGCTGGAGACCCCAGCCCCGCGCGGGTTAACGTTACGTACTTACATACTTACATCCTTAGATACAGACATTCATCTTTAACATAATTCGTACCTAAGTATGTCTAGCAGAAAGCTTCGACAGCTCACCTTCACGTCGAAGGGAAAAGGTTGACGGGGAATACGAAACCGAAACAGGTAGAAACAGTTGATGACGGTATTTTATACGAGCATGTTCATTTGCAATTATTGCAACCACATAATCGCACAAAGCATCGACAAATGTCATTAGAAGTCAAAACTCAGAATGTAGCAATTAATAGTTTATCAAATTTTGATGAGCCATTCAAAATGCCTCAGTTTAGAAATGAATAAATTTTCTTTGGGATGTACATACTGCAAACTTCGTTTACCTAATAAATGGGTGCTGCATTAGCATGCATAGAATAAGGAATCACTCACTTTTACTGAAACAAATAAACACGGCTATGTCCTCTACGAACTACATTCTGAGTCATTGCGAATCCACCCAACGTCTCGTTTCTGATATGTCACTGACAAGTAGCGGTGGGAAGTTTTTGGCTTGTACTCACTCGTATACACAGCGATTATGCAGTCATGTAGAAGTAACTAAAATGTCAGAATGATACAAGTAGGCCATAATAAAATCAACAACGCACGCAATAAATGAGCCTGCAATATGAAAAAGGACACACAAACACAGAGATAAAAGTGAAATTGTATCTTACTGTCATATTATGTGGCCAATACCTGATTTCATGGTCCAGCCGGGTTTGGAGCTGCAGCCGCAGCGATGCCCGGAGGCGTGTGTCGGGTCCCGGCGGCACTTCCAGCCAGTTCCACACCTGCCACACGCAGCCAGAGCATTAATACACGTAACATACCTATTCACGGTCCCGGCGGCACTTCCAGCCAGTGCCGTACCTGCCGTAACGAACCAGTGCATCAGGTACTCAGCCCACACTCAATACTATTCACGTTTTTTTTTTAATATGTCACACAATATACGTTTGTTCCCATGAGTGCATGCTTATTTGTAAGCCAACTAGTTTGAAACGCTGGAAGCTGTATTTTATTTTGATAGCCATTTGTATGCCTTAAATACGGCCGTTTAAATGCCTTATATATAACCGTTTATATGAATCTCCTTATAACCCTCAGGGAAAACCATTTGATTGCAAATTATTGCGCATTTAGCCGCCCGAGTGGATCATTCGCCACTGTCAGCAACTACGATCATCGTTATACCGACACCCCGCCCTGCGACTGACCTGTTGAGGGCGGTGGTGCACGGGTCGTTGGGCTCCTCGCAGTGCCGGCCGCGCCACGCCGGACTGCACGTGCACGTGTACTCGCGGCCTGACTCAGCCGATGGGGTGCACGTGCCGCCGTTCTGACACGGCGGCTTCGCCTTACACCGGTCCTTGATGATGCAGCGAGGATCAGAGGCTGGTGGCGGCGGGAAGGAGAGGAGAGGAAGAGGAATTGATAAGACAGATAAAGGAAGAACAGTGTAAAATGTGGAACGAAAGAAATAAGGAATGCAAGAGGTTCGACTGTGCCAACATTTTCGATTGGTATCCGTCAGGCGTCTATCCTGAGTCAAAACTCAAAAGCATCATGGTGTTGTCACCGAATTGATGTCCTCGAGAAGGTGTGTAGCTTTTAAAAAGTCAGCTGCTTCATTACATTTTTATTTTACAAAATACACTAATCCTTGTGCGTTTCAGTGGTCTGACCTGACTTTGCGGCGTATCCGGGGTGGTTGCGGCAGTTGCAGCGGTAGCCTGCCACCGACTCGGGGTTCCGTGAGCACGTGAAGCCGGCGCCGCACAGCCGCGCCCCGGTCGCCCGGGAGCCGCACGGGTCGAGCGGCTTCTGACAAACCTGGCCCGTCCAGGCGCTCGGACACTGACACTTGAACAGCCACATACCTGGCGGCGGGGATACCGGGCCCGCTGACAACAGCTCCGAAACGGTTTTAACTTTTAAGCACAGTATGTATATTGTATAGGCATGAAAATGTAATCTTGAAGTTAGGCCGGGAAGCCAAGTCGTATGATTACGGAGCGAGCGAAGCGAGCGTAGTCTTTCCTTAGTTAACGGAAATTTCTGAGTATGAGCGGCCGCCGTGCGGACGCTTTTGCGAGGCTTATATCTCAGCAACCACTTGACCGATTTACATGCGGTAATTTTTGTAGGGTAGCTTCATTCCTTCTACCAAGTATTGGACTATTCCTAATGCATGTGGGTGACCCCTTATGCACGTGCCACGTGCAAAACGAAGATGTGTCAGTTTTGCAATTGTTGCAATATCTCGGTAACTACTGGGCCGATTGCGCTAAAAGTTGGCATGTAGGTAGGCACCCACTAGGCACTGCATATCCATGTGCCAGAGCTGGGGTGCTGCTGCGCGTGCGCACGTGCAGGGGTCGTTTCCAGATCTCGAGAACGGCTCAACCGATTGCGCTCAAATTTGGTACACAGTTAGGGACCGGTTAGTAGGGTGCCGTGCACAAGTCAGTTGGGACCCATTTTGCACGTGCGCACGTGCAGGGTGCCGCTTCCAGATCTCGAGAACGGCTGAACCGATTGTGCCCAAATTTGGCACATCGCTAGAGACCGGGTAGTAGGGTGCCGTGCACTGCACAAGTCAGTTGGAGGTACCCCCTCGAAATTTCGCACGTGCAAGGCCCACCCTCTCGCTCGCTCCGTTAGTCACCCCATAAGGCGTTATACTGGTTTAATGATATTCGTACCTTCATGATTTCTGAATTCTGCTTCACATATATGTCACGAATGGAATTTTATTGTTTTCCTCTAATCCTAGCTTAATTCTCAATGCTTTAGATGCAATAATAAGAAAATTGTTGCACTGCTTAGGTAAAATTACATAGCTCACAAAACTTTTAATACGACTAACAAGGCCGTAGATTTCGAATATTCGTTGGATATGACCATCACAAATGTAGTTAGATGTATGTATGTACACTGTCACTTACCACGGCCTGTAGGGATGCAAGTGCCTCCGTTTCGGCAGTGGGTGCCCTTCGTCTTACAGTAGTTCGTAACCTTGCACACCGGGTTGGTAACTGCAACGCATTGTAATATATTATAAATGTAAATATACACGCGAGCGCTCGGACTTATAATAAGGTAAAGTATCAACCCTCGCCGGCCGAGGGGGGGGGGCGGGTGCCGCCCCCCCCATAGGGTTTTTTCGCAATAGCTCCGAACACGCTGGCGATAGAGATCTGAAACTTGGCATACCTGACCTTTGATCCAAGCCGCATCTTTTTGACACCAACCGCGTTTTTGGGTCAGGTCAGGTCACTGACCTATGACGTCATAAGTGAACCTCTGCACGGTCTTCAGATGTCACAACTTCGCAACGCCCTCACTGCTAGAGGAGATGTCACAGGGAAATGAAACTTGCAGGATCTAGTATCCATTATGAGTCCCACAACTTGTATATCTCGGATTTTTCCTAAAGGTCATATGAGGTCAGGTCATTTTCGTGACCTCACCATTATAAGTCAATGGGGAAAAATGAAAACTGCTATTCTGGCGCCGGGAACGATCTCCAACTATCTCAAGCACACAAAATCGTGATTTGATGCACTCCTTGCAAGGTTAGATGCGTCACTTTTGCAATGTTGACCTTGCGTGACGTCATTTATGACGTCATCAAGGTCATATTAGTTTTTCGTCAATAACTCTTGATCAAATTGAGCTAGCGAGTCGGGAAAGCCACCAATGGACTCAGGAAGGCCTGCCGAATCGAATGATATGCGACATGACCTCTTTCGACCAGCTTCGTGACCTGGGGGTGCTGACCTGACCTTGACCTGAGGTCAACACCCCAAGTTGACCTGACCCGGACAAAAAGTATATCATTCGACGCGCCTGAGCGAGGCGAACACGATGCTGCCAAAATCGGCGCTCTGCGGCCGTTTTTTGCGAAGTTATTCACCAAAAACTGAACCGTACCTTGGGGCACTTGACCTGACCTCAGAGGTCACCGGTTGACCTAGGACCTTAAAATCGGGTACCAATCTCTGCGTCTCGTAACGGCGCACACGCTCGTTTTTTCCGCGACGCGCTAGCTCCACCAGGGGCGAAACGGCAAGGGGGGGTCGTACCCGCCCCCCCCCCCCTCGGCCGGCGCGTATGTAGAAAACCAATAGGTCCGGCGAGGGTTAAACAATAATATATTTTAAGATCATGAACCATATTCAAAGCAAACTAGACCAAACTAAGACTTTGGATACTATATAATAAGGGCAAATTTGCAAGCAATACCTACTCCTACTGATTCGGAACTTAACGTGAACAATTGAGTTATCGCCATAAATTGTATCTGTTAGCAAGTGTAGCTTTCTACCCGGTTTACAATTATGATTTATGTCAACAGACCTTGTTAGGTTTGTCAACAGCTTATGTTCTTAGCATTCCAGAAAAATATCCCACATTTTTGTGTTCTTTCGTTCGATGCACGTTAAATACACTAATAATGCAGTTTGATTTGTTCGTCACTACTGGCCTGAAGTGGCTCCCCAGCCGGGTCGGCTGCCGCAGTCGCACGAGTAGCCGGCAGGGGAGGTCGGGTCGCGGGAGCACGCAAACCCGTTGCCGCACTCCAAAGTCTTGCACGGGTCGCGGGCAAACTGCGAAATGATGCACACATGTTTCTTGTGATTTTGAAATGCAATTATGCATTTCAATAAAGATAGTTATGCATTTACCTAACAACCACCCACTTATTTCCCTCTCTTTCACTCTCGCTCTCTCTCTCTCTCTCTCTCTCTCTCTCTCTCTCTCTCTCTCTCTCTCTCTCTCTCTCTCTCTCTCTCTCTCTCCTCTCTCTCTCTCTCTCTCTCTCTCTCTCTCTCTCTCTCTCTCTCTCTCTCTCTCTCTCGATGCTTACCTGACACGTCTCTCCTTGCCAGGCTGGTGGGCACCGGCAGTCGAACCCCTTCCGCGTATCATAGAGGCAGGTGGCACCGTTCTGGCATGGCCCCTTCTCAGTGCAGAGATTGACGTGAGACGAGCATGAGCTGCCCTCCCAGTCTTCGGTGCAGATGCATTTAAATCCGGTACCGGAGACGGCGCACTGGCCGCCGTTTTTGCAGGCGCGTGTGGCCTGACAGCGTCGCAGTGCCGGAGGGATGACCGGCTTTGGCGGGACCTGGCACGTCACACCGCTGAAACCGCCTCGACACAGGCATTTGTACGCCGTGTTGCCAAATTCCTCGCAGGTGCCGCCGTTTTGGCACAGCTGGAGCTTGATACAGTTCTGGAGGGCGGTGTTGACGGGTTTGGGAGGAATTTGACACGACATGCCCGTATATCCAGTAACACAGGCGCATTGGTACGTGCTGGAAGTCGCCTCTTTGCAAGTGCCTCCGTTTTTACACAAGTCAGCTTTTTGACACCGTTCAAGTTCACGGTTTACAACCTTATCGCAGAGATTTCCCTTCCAGCCTTCAGCACACGCACATTTAAAGGCGTTACCAGCAGGTAAGCACGTGCCTCCGTTTTTGCACAAGCCAGCTTTTCGACATAGTTCAAGCTGACGGTTTACAACTTTGTCACAAAGGTTTCCTTGCCAACCATTAGCACACGCACATTTAAAGGCCTTACCAGCAGGTAAGCACGTGCCTCCGTTTTTGCACAATCCAGCCTTTTCACAGAGTTCGAGCTGACGGTTTACAACTTTGTCACAAAGGTTTCCTTTCCAACCATTAGCACACGCACATCTAAAGGCGTTTCTAGCAGGTAAGCACGTGCCTCCGTTTTTGCACAAGCCAGCTTTTTCACATAGTTCGAGCTGACGGTTTACAACTTTGTCACAAAGGTTTCCTTTCCAGCCATTAACGCACGCACATTTAAAGGCGTTACCAGCAGGTAAGCACGTGCCTCCGTTTTTGCACAATCCAGCTTTCTGACATAGTTCGAGCTGACGGTTTACAACTTTGTCACAAAGGTTTCCTTTCCAACCATTAACGCACGCACATTTAAAGGTGTTACCAGCAGGTAAGCACGTGCCTCCGTTTTTGCACAAGCCAGCTCTTTGACATAGTTCGAGCTGACGGTTTACAACTTTGTCACAAAGGTTTCCTTTCCAACCATTAGCACACGCACATCTAAAGGCGTTTCTAGCAGGTAAGCACGTGCCTCCGTTTTTGCACAAGCCAGCTTTTTCACATAGTTCGAGCTGACGGTTTACAACTTTGTCACAAAGGTTTCCTTTCCAACCATTAACGCACGCACATTTAAAGGCATTACCAGCAGGTAAGCACGTGCCTCCGTTTTTGCACAATCCAGCCTTTTCACATAGTTCGAGCTGACGGTTTACAACTTTGTCACAAAGGTTTCCTTTCCAACCATTAACGCACGCACATTTAAAGGCGTTACCAGCAGGTAAGCACGTGCCTCCGTTTTTGCACAAGCCAGCTCTTTGACATAGTTCGAGCTGACGGTTTGCAACTTTATCACAAAAATTTCCTTTCCAACCATCAGCACACGCACATTTAAAGGCGTTACCAGCAGGTAAGCACGTGCCTCCGTTTTTGCACAAGCCAGCTCTTTGACATAGTTCGAGCTGACGGTTAGCAACTTTATCACAAAGGTTTCCTTTCCAACCATTAGCACACGCACATCTAAAGGCGTTGCCAGCAGGTAAGCATGTGCCTCCGTTTTTGCACGAGCCGGCTCTTTGACACAGTTGAACCTGGCTGCTTACCGAGCCCCCAGCCACATCTGGTGTTTTGCAGCCAACGCCTTTCCATCCGGGGGGACACAGGCACTTAAATTCGCGGTCTCTAAGCGGCACACACGTCCCGCCATGTTTACAGAGTCGGTATTTGATGCAGCTCTGCAGTGCCACGTTGCGCTCCTCAACGACGGCGGCTCTCCACTGGCACCTGTTACCCCGCCAGCCCGGAGCACAGTCGCACTGGAACCGGAACCCTTGCGAACGGCAGGTGCCGCCGTTTTTGCAGATTCGCATGCGGACGCATACGTCCATGGCACTGGAGCGTTTGGTCCGTCGCAAGGATCTCGTGCAGGTAGGAATCAGGTCTGTGGGTCGATTGGAACAGTCGGTCCTCTTTCGGTAGTGCTAGTCAAAAACTCTAATATAAGCTCAATAAAAGTCTAGTGAATTTGATGTGAACCTACACTAATTAATTGCACTACAAATATGTAGAGTAATCCAAACTTTACATATAGTCATCACGTATTTTTACCATAAAAGTTTAAGTAAAAACATATTTATTGAGATATCCAGAGCATCAAAATAATGACCACAGATGCACTGAAATCCTACCGCTTTGAAATAAATGCCTATAGAAAGTGTACAAGAAAGGGTGAGGTTAAAACCACAATGGAGTAACAATGCTCGTATACTAAACGAAGCCATGGTCGTGTTTTGACCGATCTGCCGTTCCCGGTAGGGAGGTATATGTCCGCACCTGACACCGCCGTCCAGCCGGGCCGGGCCTCGCAGCCGCAGCTCAGTCCCAGCGGCCGGTCGGGGTCGCGCCGGCACCGCCAGTCGGCGCCGCACGGGTCGTGCTCGGCGCACGGGTCCCGTTCCGTCTGACACGAGTCACCTGTCCAGGCGGGCCGGCAGCGGCAGCGCTGCTCTGACGAGGCCGTCACCCCGGCGCCAGAGGCGTTCCGGTAGGCGGCCTCTGTGTCCACCATCTTAGGGTGGCGGCGGACGGGAACAGAAAACGCATTGGTAGTTGGTGGGGACTCGCAAATAGACTTTTTATCTTTCTCAAATGTGAGTATACATGTAGCTACATACGGTTATGCATCAATCTAATAAAAATCAAATGTTTGATTCACAATACATTTGAAATTTGGGATAAAGTATCGAAGCTCGCCAACGCTTAATATTTCTTTCTTTCAGATGCTGATTTGCCTCATTAGTTACAAGTTAGCCTGCACTTCCATTCTTACTACAGATAAAACAGGGATGACAGTGCTTGTTGTGACGAACTAAAACAACAAACATTACATTTGCCTAAAAATTAATTATCTTCATAAATAAAAGTGAATGTAATCGCCAATCGGATCCTGTAGATCAAACGGTGCCAATCAAATTTGTTTTGCTTTTTATAAGACGACCAGGTACCATGAAAATATGGTCAGTAAAGAACACTGATAATTGAAAATACAAAAATGCGAAGGGGATAAAAATCAGAGTAAGGTCATTCGATAGGCAAGTTGCTATTTCTATGTTTCAGATGTCTTTGGGTAAGCTCATTGAATGTCTTTTCAGATGTTTTGCATTTATGAGAAATGACATGCAAATTACAGGCCGTATAAGTGGAACTGATGCGTTCATTATACTCACAACGCAATCAGCTCTGCCTTGGTACTGTATATCACAATGCAGGTTGTCCACGGGACATCGCAGCTCGCGCCGTCTGGTGTAGTTTTCAAACAGGACAGGATCGGGGTAGCACAGAGATGGCGGAGAACACCGCGGAATGGAGGGTGAGCGGCCTCCCGTATATGCATCATTTGCTATAGTCCTGTAAAACACGTCAGTAAAGTAGGTAACCCAATAGATTTTCTTTTATTTTCATTTTATTGAATATAAGGGCACAAAATATATAGCTTACAAATGGGCACATATGACATAACAGAGAGGCAATACCTATAACATAACCAAATTAACGGCTGTTTCATCAAGCCAGCCATCAAACCATTCTTTGACAGACTTGTGTGTGGTCGTTCCGGGAAGCCGTTGCTGTGGGCTGACTGGCCGTCTTTTCGGAGCGGCTTTGCCTGACAGTTATACTGTGCCGCAATGCAGCGCCGCCAGAACGCCTGTGTGGTAGGCTGTTCCGCAGGGCACTGCGCCACCGCGGGTTTTGCGCTTCGGGCTGCGTTTGAATGGTGATAGACAATTACGAATTGCAGGGAGTCTTGTGCATGCTGATTGATGCTGCTCGAGTATGAACGGCGTTGAACCAGAGGAACACAACGCTGTTTGAACATTAAATGTGTTGTGCTGACTTGATTTAGAGTAACAGCCAACAGGCAAGAAGAAATTAATGATCAACTTACCGTGAAATAAGAATCAGCAATACCGCTGACACCGCGAGCTTGCTGTAGTCACTCATGACGATATCTTGATCTTATCAAATAAATGATATATAAAACAATCATGTAGAAAATGGAACACATGTGAATATTACCGATCATGGCTAATTCAGGGTAATGTAACCGTTTCAGATCCCTTTTCTGGATATTTACTGCTACAACGTATTTTCCCATGAAAGCGGTTAGCAATAATCAATTGCTATCTGCTTTTCGTACTTCAATAACATAGGCTATACCTTAATTCATTTCATCTTCATTAATGTTCATGAAATATTCAAAATCCGGCGCTAAATAATAAATATCCATAACATTTTTACACCATCTTGGACATGGAAACTAAACGCAATGGTTGCGCAATGGAGCATTGCATCAAATTATGTCACAACGTTTTACAAAGAGTTCAATGCGTGACAAAATATCAAAAGTACTTTAGATTGCGAGAGCAACCGCAGGATAGGTCAAAGGAGGATATGCGCCCCGTGCGAATCCACGTTCACTGGACATGGTCTGGTATATAAATTATTACCTTCGCTATGGCCGTTTTCACGACGGAATAGCAGGCATCTATTTAATCCCCATTTGATCCTTTGGTTCCTCAGGAATTTTAGTAGTTCTTTTTAGTAGGTTCCCCAGCTTTCGAATGAATGGTGCGTTAGTTTGCTATTTTTCTATTAAATATCACATCGATTTACTTTATCTAAGGATTTATCACTAATATCAACATAAAGCGTAAGCACAATTATAAAATTATGAAATTATTAAATACTAGTACAATAGTTAAAAAAAGATACTGAGTTGCCAGGCTACAAAGAATATATTCATTTATGGCGCACGACAGACATTTAGAAAGCAGCGCCCTGTTTTATTGCACGCTGCTAGCCGCTTCCATTGGGTTTTGCAGGCCGACGTCATTGGTCGTTACACGTATGATGTCACGCGACTTGTGGCCTGTCACGGCTCTTTAATGATCTCCACTAAATGAATGCAACAATGGCCTTTTAAGTTGATCTCTGTGGCCATCTGTCTATGGAGCGACCAATATGAAAGTTGGGTGAATTTACCGGGGTTACATGACTATGAGCAAGCAAATGTGTATCAGGAATGGATTTAGGTGGAGAATTGCGCTGGACCATGAGTGCTCGAACGCTCCCAATTCCATGCGCCGGTTTGGCTTTGGAGCCGAGACAGACGATGCGGGTCAAGGTCACCGCTGGGGTGACGGTGGATTGGCTGCGCCCGAGCACCCGTAACGCGGCACAATTCTCCATCTATGGATTTTCCTATTCGCTCAGCATTGTGATAGGCGTTCGTAATAGCATTTACTCTGCTCATGTACCTATCCCCGGTTATTTAAAAGAAGTTTTTGTGGGGGAATATCACGGCTTTAGGTACTCGGTGGCCCTATTCACGACTTTCAAAGAATGCTCCGATAACTAAACACCGCACAGACCTACTGCATTAGTGAATCTGACAGAAGGTCTGTGGAATTACATCCCCCCCCCACCACACCCCTAAAAACTCATCCAGTGTCCAAAACCACTTTTATCGACTCGCAAAAAAAACACACACACACATACACACACAAAGCATGGGGCATGTCAGCTCTCAGTTCATTTATCATTGTCTTTACCATGGTTCAATTGCATTGCGCGATTTAAAGCACGTGAGTGCCTATATAGTATATATGTAGAAAATAATATCTACAGCAAAACATCCAAAATTACAAAGGCTACAATGCTTAAAAAGTAGGTTCATCAAGGAAGCCCATTTTTACTTGCGTTGTGTTCCCAACCATGCGATTCCAACGCGGGCTATTCGCAACGTCTGTTAAGGCACGTTAACAACTGACAAGCCGCCACCGCTGCCACTTATTCATAGATGGTTGATATCGCAGCTTGGGCGTCAGCAGCGCGGCCCACAACGCGTCGGCGCCAGCGCACGCAGCAGTTGGCACTCGGCAGCCGGTGTTGCGACTTAAAGGGACCCTCCCACCTTAACATTAGTTTTGAGTTGAGATAGCCAAGTTTGCGGCCAGGCTCAGAAACCACCATTTATCCTGGTCGTAACCCCCGCAGCTTTATGGTGTTCAAGAAATTTCTTCCCTTTACTTGCAGGGTGGGACCAGCGTGGTCCCTATCTCTTAACCATTACGGGAATCTGATGACGTCATCAGGCTTTCGAACGTCCGTTAAATGTTTGACTGAAACGTTTTGTAGCACGCGGTGGTATATGCTGCTTTGCGCGCAACAAATGCCGCACTTTCAAATAAAGTCGCTAGGATCAGCGGAGATCCCAAAAAGTAAACAAAAGTAAAAGTCTAATATCTTGAAAACCGGTGAATATTTTTCGATGAAATTTGGTAGATATTCGTTTTTGCTCTTTCTGAACCGAGCGACATCACTTTCATGCCAATTCATTAACTTTTTTGAAGGTGGGAGGGTCCCTTTAACGGCCGGCCGGCCCCATGAAGGAGAAGCTCTTGGTGAAGCTTTGTGATCGCCTCATAGCCGCCTTGGATGTCATCTTTCTTGGCAGATCCATCCGTTCAGATGGTACGGTGCAGTCTGGATAAAGGACGAAGTCCAACGCCGCTAACCCCGCGACCGCCACCCCACAACGTGGCCGCAGACCGAACGGGCGTGAGGGCCGTAAGGGCCACCCCGCCATCCGGTAGGTGGCTAAGCAGCCGGGCGCAGCGGCGCCTGGGCGGCGGCCGCGCTGAGATGAAGTCCCAAACCGCCATGTCGCCATCACCGCCATCACCATTGCTGCAGCTGTTCCCAACCGCCTCAATCACCGCCGTTTTGCCAGCAGTCGCGCCGCGGAATGGCAGAAGCTCCAGAGTAGCCTCCAGCGCCCCTCTCCGCACGTGTGCAGGTGCACTGCGGCCGCCGGGTCCGACGTCCAGGCAGAACATGATATTTCCATGCTGCTCCGACGGTGGGCTGGTCTTGTTTGGGCGTTCCTCCACTGTGACGTCGGTCACGCCTGCCCCGGCCAGGGCGCAGAGGCCGACGTGTCACCATCCGGTTGCAGTCCTCAGTCGGGTCGCAACGTGTACCTCTTCCGCAGCGTGGAGCGCGCTCCCGCTGGGCAGCGATACAGCCAAAAGTAGCATAGCATGCGGGCGGCCAGCGCTGCGCCGGACAGCGGACCCATGCCGGGGGTATGCCGGTCTCGGCCATTAGCGGGGTCGTCGGGGCCGAGGCTGTACATACAGCTGGTGACTGCGTGAGCCGCCAATGAAGCTCACGGCTTATAAGCTCGACGCGGGCATCACACGCCGTCCCGATGGGAGCTCCACGACGACGCCGCGAACTCCAGCGCGGCTCGCAGCGCGAAGACCAGTACGGACGGCCGGGGCAAACGGCGTGCGGGAGTCGCAGGCGACGTTCTGCGGACAGAAAGGGTTGGGCATAAGCTGGTCGGCAGGACACTCTTGAGCCGAGCCTTTGATGTAATTACAGATGATCCAGAAGCATGCACAAAAATTCATGACACACTATTCTCATTTATGTATTTGCTACATATGATATGATATACCAGCTCATGATCAGTGACGCATTCTGGGCAATATGTTCTAATGT